TGTTATTAAATATGTTGTTACATTTCAGTAAAAAACAAACAAAAAATGGAGAGGGAGAGGTGTGTCTTGAGGACAGCCTCAGACTGTGTGGGCCTAGTGGGGACAGGGAAGCCCTTTGAGGTATCTGAGAGGGGGAAGGGTCCTTCAAAGAACCAAGAGACCATATCCCCTGCTCCAGGACCTCAGAATTGGCTCTCTTTAACCAGGCCTTGCTGGAAGACTCCCTAAACTCAACCTTGTCCTTCCTCTTTTTCCCAAGTTCATCACCCGAGGGTAGGAGGCCAAGGAATCTTCTGCCATCCACAGACTAGAGATGGAGCACATGCAGCAGCAGGTCGCCTGTATAAACCCTCATCCTGCTCTTCCTTTCTCCTTTCCATATCCAAGGAGGCAGAAAGTGAATAAGCTGCCTGTGCTCTAGTGAGCTCTGTTTCTAGGAATACTCATCTTCTTGATTTTCTAGGGGAGAATCACCAGGGAAAGGGACCTGGAGAAGAACTATAGTCTGGACTACGAAGAGAAATCCCAAGGACATCTTGTCTCAGAGGAGATCAATATGACTAGGGCCACGACCAAAATGGAAGTAGGAGACTAAGCTTGTTCTATTTGGTGACCCCTGGTGGAGGCAGCAGGAGCAATGGCTGAAAGTTGTAAAGGGGCAAATTTGGGGTGGAGTTCAGGAAAATCTTCCTAACAAGGAAAGAGCTATCCGAGAATAGGACGGGCTGCCTCCAGGGGTGAGGGGGTTTTCCCCTTCTCTAAAAAGGCTTCAGAAGAGGCTGGAGTGCCACTTCTCTGATATGTGGTAGTGAAGATTCCTTCTCAAATACCAGCTGGATTAGATGGCTGCTCAGGTCCCTCCAAACTCTGATGTTCTATCACTCTATGACAATGATGGGGAATGGTGTTTGAAGTCTCCGTGGAGGATAATATCTCTGAGAAGAAGTAGCTAGGTGGTATAGGGGTTAGAGTGCTGGGCCTGGAGTTGGGAAGACTTGAGTTCAAATCTGTCCTCAGACACTTACCAGCTGTGTGACTCTGGACAAGTTGCTTACTCTCTGTTTGACTCAGTTTCCTCATGTGTAAAACGGGGATGATAATAATAGCACCTACCTCCCAGGATTGTGGTGAGGACCAAATGAAATCATAATTGTAAAGCACTAGCACAATGCCTGGCGCATAGTAGGTGCTAGAAAAATGTCAGCTGTTACTATTACCAGGAGTTTAGCTGAGATGAGAGGAAATAAAGACTAGACGCCCCAATCTCCATAAAGCTTAGCTAGGTCAGACCACCTGGTGGGAACACACATAGAACTTAGACGGTATTTGGGTTCAGAAAGGCACTTCAGGTGGTATGGTTAGAAAGAATCAGAAAAACCAAGTTCAGGTTATGTGTTCATGTCTCTGCCACTGGATAACCTGGCCCCAGTGGAGAAATCATTTCTCTTTGTTGTACTTAGTTTCATCATCTGTAAAGTGGGGAAAATAATCCTTATACAATCTCTGTAAAGAGATGGGACTGGACCTGTGATTTCCTTGGTTCAGAGAATGACCAATGAGGAAACTCCCTCTACCAGGGCCAATCAGCGCCTCTGTAATTTGCATAAGATACTCATTCTACCTGGGCCAATCAGCTTCTGTAACTTGCATAGGATACTAAGAGGTTAAGCGACTTTCTGAGAGTCACATAGCTATTGTATGTCAGGCATAGGACTCAACCAAGGTCTTCTTGGTTCCAAAACTGGCTCTCTAGCCTTTATCCTACACTGTCCCTTCAATATATATAATAGTATATGTAAAAGGGTTTACCATGACAAAGGAATAGGGATACGGATAGGAATTGGAGCTGCAATTTTAATGGTAGAGGGAACTCCCAGGGGAGAAAGTTCCTTCTATAGATACAGTGCATCATCACTTCAGTGTAGAGTCTTAGGAGTTGCCTAGAGCATTGAGATGGTGTTTAAATTACAGTTAGAAAGGCTACACAAATATGAGTCATTACTCTTTTTTTTTGGTGGGGGAGCTTTTTTTTTTTTTTCCCAGTGAGGCAATCAAGGTTAAGTGAGGCCCAGGGTCGCACAGCTAGGCAGTGTCAAATGTTGGAGGCTGGATTTGAACTTAAGTCCTCCTGACTCCAAGGCCTGAGCTCTATCCACTGCTCCACCTAGCTGTCCTCTGAGTCATTATTCTTCTGATCATGATTGTACCGTGGAGTCTTCTTCAGCAGCAAGGGGGGCAGGCCATATTACTTTGATGTAGAGTCAGTGTGCTTCGGTGAATTGGGACCAGGGAAGAATTGGGAGTCAGGAAGGTATGGGTCCTAATCCTGACTCAGATACTTATTAGATGTGAGACCCTGGGCAAGTCACTTTACCTCTACCTGTCTCATTTTCCTCCTCTATAAAATAAGGATAATAATGCCTACCTCCTAGAGTTGTGAGGATAAGATGAAATAGTATTTGTAAAGTGCTTTGCAAACTCTAAAGCCATATGTAAATGCTAGTTATTGTTATTGTCATCTTGTAAGGAAAAAAGCTGCTGGAGAGAAAAGAAGGGCATAAGGATGGAGCAGCTCAGCTTTGGGCTTTGGTAGGGCATCAGGGGATTAAGTAGCAGAATATTAGCACTACTTTTATCACTGAGTCCCTTAGTCACTTCCCCTAAAGCAGGGCATCAGAGCACTTCAGTGCAAGAGGAAGTCTTTGGTGGGTCATGGTGTCCTCACATTCCACACCACCCACCTTGCCAGTTGGAGACCAATTTGTGACATGGAGTGTGGAGGTACTTAATGACCTCAGTGTGGAGAAGACAGCTGGCATGTGGATGTGTATTGTTTATGTTTTCGGGTAGGGACTAAGGAGATGGACTATGGTCATAATGTCATAGGTTGTAAGAGGCTGGAAAACATTGTCAGAAGACTTGACCTGGTTTGAACTTGAGAGGTTGTCATCTGGAAGAATATTTAGATCTAACTTTATTTATTCTTTTTATGTTTATTCTTTATATACACATTGTCTCCCCTGATAGAATGTCAACTTCTTGAGAGTATGGGTGTTTCTTTTCTTTTTGTTTGTATCTCACAGGACGCACTTAATAACTGTTTGTTTGTTGATTGATTGACTCCAGAAGGCAGAACCAGGATGATGGGGGTAGAAGTTACATGGAGGCAGACCAGCTCAGTGTAATTAGGAAATGTCTAAGTAGTGAGATCTGTCAAAATAGGGAGTGGGCCACTTTATGAAGTAGTGAATTACTCATTGCTGGAAGTATTCAGGCTGAGGCCAGCAGATCACCTACCAGGATGTAGAAAAGATTTCTCTACCAGATAAGGTCAGATGGCCTCTGAGGGTCCCTCCCCCCTTTTATTTTGACTGGGCAATGGGGCTAAGTGATTTGCCCAGGGTCACACAGCTAGTAAGTGTCAAGTGTCTGGTCTGAGGCCAGATTTGAACTCAGGTCCTCCTGACTGCACTGCACCACATAGCTGCCCGTTGAGGGCCTTTCTAACTCAGAAATTCAATGATTATATTGGGAGGCAGTGTGATATTGTGGAAAGATCACTGACCCTCAAGGCAGAGGACTTGGGTTCAAATCACACCTCTGATGCTCACTGCTTGTAAACCTTAGATAAGTCACATAAGCCTTGGTTTCCTCATCTGTTAAGATGAGGGGGCTTGTTCTAGACGACCTCTAAGAGCCCTTTCATTTCTAAGTCTATGATCCTAATTCACTGGCCCTGGTTACTGTCTTCTCTGCCTGTCTCCATGTCTATCAGTGGAGAGGCAGATTGAATGGTAGTCCCTCCAGACATCCTTCTAAGGGATATATGGTGGAAAGAGTCAGTTGTCCTTGCTGTCAGAAGACCTGAGGCTGTGCAGTATCTTTTATGACCTGTATGACTTTAAGCACATTAGTTAACCTCTATGAGCTTTGTGTGGATCTGATCTGTTTTGGGCAAAGTACTTGTGAACTAAAAGTGCTCTAGATGTGAAAGGTACTAACATCTGAGAACTTCTGAGACTGAAGCTGCTTCAGGAGGCATCATGAGGTCTGTCTAGCTTTTCTCCACAGCCTACCTGGAGGTAGAAAGACCACCTTGGGAGGATACCTGGAAGTCACAGTAGTCTTACACTTGAAGTAGTTTCCCTGTTGGGTGTGAATGGAGGAGCAGGTTGAAGAATGTAAGAACTGCCTAACAACTTCGTAAGACTTGAGAACTTTGATCAATGTCATCACCATCCATGATTCCATATGACTAATGATGAAACAGGCAATCCACCTCCTGACAGAGATATACAATGCAGAATGAGATATACATTTTTGGACATGGCCAATGCAGAAATGTATTCTGTTTGATTATGCACATTTGTGACAAGGGCTCTCCTCCCCTTCCCACCTTAGGAGGCAGAGAGAGAGAAAATAAATGCTTATCAGTGGAAAATTAAATTACATTTTAAAAAAGTTAGGAATAACCCTGGGGTTTAGGAGTTGCCAGTGAGACAACCCAGCAGCTTGATCTAGGGTGTCTCATCCTGGCACAAGAGCAAATGGGGACAGCTGAGGAAACATGCCATGTTCCCACTCTCTCTCCTCTAGAGAGGATCTTCCTTGTTTCCTTGGTCACCCTGCTATGTTTTTTTTTTTAATGAGGTTGATTGTCAGGCAGCTCACCTCTGCCTTGGGAGTCCAGACAAGTGAGAAGAGGGGAAGATCCCAGATGGCAGGGATCTTGTCAGGTAAGCCCCACTGTTCACCATGCAGGAAAGGATGCTCAGTCAGGAGCATGCCAATGGATGAAACATACCATGAGAAAACCTGGGGATCCTGAGTCCTCAAAACAAGTGGGTTGTCTTGTGTTGGGTTAGATTAGTGGGCCTAAGGTAGTCAGCAAGAGAGCCCTGGGCTGTGGGGTGAGTGTGGGGTCATCCTGTTCCCTCTGCCAAACCTGACTGGAGGTCTAGCCTCCAGGGTAAAAGTGACACAAGTAGCCGGAGGCTGTCCCTGGTCTGAACGTACAGAATTTATTGGTTGCCATTCTTAGTGTGAAGATGGATAGGTAGGGAGAGTTGAGGGGATGCCTCTATGAGTCTCCAGCCTTCGGGAGGTCAGTGGTTTCAGAGGCTGGGAAGGGGACTAAGGGTGAGAATGGGGGGATTTTCCTATATGTATTGCATATTTAATTGGCAGTGTGCCTAGGGATAAGGCATCAGGGAAGCAGAGAGGCTACCTGCAAAAAGAGAGAAGTTTGAGGAGGGGGAGGTAAAGGGGGCAGGGGGATAGGAGAGAGGCACCATCACTTATCCATGTCTCTTTCATTCCTGGTTGAGGACCCTTGGCATTCTGCAGTTGCTCCCCTTCTCATCTGTTTTTCTTGTCCCATCATTTCCCTGAATTTGCCGGTCCTACGTATCTGGTCCTCCCTAGCGGAAAAGCGGGGTGCTCCACACGTCTGCTGTGCTGCTGGGAAGTAGTGGCAGCTTTCAAGGACCTGTGGGACAGGGCATCTCACAGAATGTACTATGCCCAGGATAGACACAGCCAGTCTTATAGATGAGACAAAGGGAGAGGCAGGAGTACTCAGGAGGGAAGGGTATCTCCCTGTGTAGCCCTCAGACACCCAATCCTTTCCTCACCATTTATTCTTGTGTCTCCTACAGGCATGTGGATAGCCAGCCTGGTAACAGTCACTACACACAGAGAGATTGATCCTTTGCACTGAGGAACGGGACAAAAGCTTTACCTTTCTCCTAAGCAAGGACCTGAGGGGCTCATGTGGACCACCTCCAACTTCCTGACTAATGCTTTCTTCCTGCCCCCCTCCACATCTGGAGGCACCTGTTGGTACTAGACTGTTGAGGCAGGGGGCTGTGGTCTCATTTTTGCCTCTTTTCCTTTCCCTGGGGCTCTGGTGCAGGCTGCTGTTGTAAGCAGACCAGTAGCCTCTTCCAACATATATGGTCAAAAACTTGAAAGAAATAAATCCTCAGCCTCTGACCATGGCCATCCGTACTAGATGTGCAGCCTGGGGCAAATCCTGCCTAATTTTTATCTAGAGGTCAATGTTGGTGACAATACACCCAGACTGGAGGCCTTGATCGTTGGAGTCAAGAGCTGCAACATTAGGAGTAGTGGTGGAGAGAGAGGTGGTGGAGAGAGAGGCTACCGCACAATCAAAAGGGAGAAAAAGATGCAGAAGGGGAGCACTCATGCTGAGGGTGTCTGCAGAAGAAAGGGAAGAACAAAGCTTCACTGCCAGGCAGGAGCCAGATTTATCCCAACTGCCCTGGGGAGGGGGGAGGGTCAGCAGCAGTCATGTGCTTACATACCGCTTGGATGTGAGTGCCTTGGGTCATTGCTGGTACCAGCAGACTGCTCCATCTCTGTCTCCTCCTACCTGCTGGTGCCCTGAGTCACCACATAGCTCTGCTGTCATTTGCTGAGATTCGTTCTATTCTAAGGTAAGGTACTGATTGGGATGACTACGTCGGAAAAAGCCTGCAGTATCTGGAGGCAGCAGGGAGGCCAGCCATGCTGGGGAGGTGCACACCCCCTCCCTGTTTGGCAGCTCTTCTCTCTGTTGAGCTTGAACAATTTTTCCTCCCCTGTCACTGGACAGACGGGCATCTATTCTGTACCTGAGGGAGCAGATGTGTCCACCTGGGCAAAGGCAGAGCCAAACTTTGCCTGCCACACAAAGGCTACAATCGACTGAATGATGAATCTGCCTCCTTCTCAGGTTTCCACTGCTATCCCTCCCATGGTCCCAGATCTCTGATTCCTGGAATCAAGATATCTCCTGGCTTGGTCCCATGTCCCTGCTCAGAAGCTGCTACAGCCTTTTCGGCTACATTGATTTGATCAGGAATTAGTGTGGGAAGTAGCTCAGTCCCAGGGAAAGAGGTCCTAGGCGGACTCCACTCTCCTGTTTCTGTTGTTCTCTGCTTTCCCCTTTCCCCTGTTTCCTTGATTGTAGATCAGCAGCTCTGCCTCTAGAATAGTTGGAAGACACTAAGGTCCCCTCACTGAGGGCTCCCCCACCACTATCAGCTTCACATGTGGATGTTCCAAAGGTCCCGTGCCTACAGAGGTGCTGCTCGGACCTGGGGAAGGGCCTCAGGAGCCTTGCTGACTGGCCAGTAGCTGCCTGCTCTTCAAAGGATAGCAGTGGTCAGGTCCCAGGGCCCCGAAACTGAATCACATCTTTGGGTTTTTGCTCCAGAATTGGTGACATGGGGATATAGGAGGTACATATAGGAGAGTGAGCAAAGAGATTCAGGAGAAATGGTTGGCTGAGTTAGCAAGGGACAGGCAGTGTATGGGTTTTGAGAAGGTATTGAAATGGGGATCACTACCCATTCCCACCTCCAAGGAAACACACTAACCCATTGCACTGTGAGAAATGGGACTGAGTTTTTCACTCAAAAACCTCAGCTTGGGTCTCAGACATAAGCACTGGAAGACATTCCCTTCGATTACTCTCTTTTCTGCCTCCTCTCTGCTGTATGTTCCTTCTTTGCAAAGCCATGCAAAAACAATATAAAACAAGGCCTGGGGTGGGGAGATTGTGAGGTGTAACTCAGAGCAGGACAGAGGTGACAGGGGAGCTGGGCAAACTGGAGAGTCTGAGGGGTGCGGCAAAAAGTCACTGGCCCAAGACAAGGAGGCAAGGAAGGACTTCACAGATAGGACAACTGTAGGACATTAATGCTGAGAGGTATAAATAGAGATGCAAACAAACACTTAACACAGAGAAGTCCCATTCCAGGAGGGTGGTAGTGAGGGAGGGGTAGGTGGATGGGCCTCTGAGAACAGCTGAGCCTCAAGGACCAGGCCCACAGCTCCTCAAATTTCCAAAGCTATCAAAGGTTTCCTCTTTGGACCCCTTCTGGTTCCCATCCCCCACCAATTTTCACATTTCTTGGAATTTTTCAGAGCATGGAGAGAGTACAGAAAGGTCTCGGATGCAAGAAGCCCCTAGGCATAGGCCCTAGGCCCTGGGCAGGCTGGTGGGGCAGTCACAGTTGGAGATCTTAGGAGAAGCCTAGATGCCCCCTACTCCAACACTGACTAATGGTGGGTGAGCAAACCTCTGGGCCAATGCCTGCCGATCCACCCAGACTGTGGGTACATAGATCCTATGGCCTCTTTGCCCACATAGAGACATGGAGCTTATTTCTTTAATAGATGATTTGAAGCAAACCTTTGTGGGTCCATCTTTTCCTACTGCTCCCTTACCCTCCCTCCCCACTTTCAAGGCCTGTGTGAGTGGGTTGGCTCCTTAGCCTGACCCACAACCAGCCCCCAGTCACACTGAGCTGCGGCGTTTCATGAGGCCACGGAATGTGGACAGGCTGTGCAGACCAGTGGAGACAGAACTGATGGCCGAGCGCTGGGCCGTGCAGAGGCAGCGGTGAGAAGGAGTGTCGACATAGCGGCCACCCCCGGGGGATGACTGGCTCTGCTCCACACAGGTGTCAGAAGTGGACAGGTCCCGGGGGATGATCATGGGGATGGAATATTGTAGCTTCTCCCGACTCTTGTACCACAGGCAGGAGCACATGGACTGGAAATGAAGCACCTCAGCATAGACATTGCGGAAACCTCCGCTCCCGGCGATGGTGGAGGATGCAGTGTCTGTGGTGTGGATGCTGCCTCCTGCCTGCCCGTTGCGGGTCAGTAGGGCCCGGTGCTCGGCGTCCCGCTTCTCATCCTCCGCGTTCATCGTCATGAAGCGTAGGACCACAAGGTTGAGGAAGGCTCCAATGACTGTCAGCCCCGTGAGGATGTACACGAAACTGAAGGCCACGTACTGGGGCTGAGTCTGCAGAGCCTGGTCCTTCTGCAGGGCCACATAGTCCCCAAAACCAATGGTGGTCAGGGTGATGAAGCAGTAATAATAGGCCTGGAAGAAAGTCCAGTGCTCATAGTAGGAGAAGGCAGCTGCTCCGATACATAAGGTACTGATGCAGGAGAAGAAGCCAATGATGACCATGTTGGCCATGGAGACATCCGACCGCCGCATCCCCAGCCCCTTCTTGGCTCTGTGCAGCAAATACTTCACAAAGGTGTTGATGCGTTCACCCAGGCTCTGGAACATAACTAGCGTGAGGGGGATGCCCAGCAGGGCGTAGAACATACAAAACACCTTCCCACCATCCGTGCTGGGGGCTGCGTGACCATAGCCTATAAGAAAAGAGAGAACAGACTGTGGTTTCTTCCTGTCTCTCCTGAGTCCTCCACTTTGCCCAACTTGAGCTGCCTGCTCCCCACCTGCACAGAGAAAGGAAATGGCTTGTGGATGGATGGAAGGAACAGAGGGAGGAAGGGGACAGTTTTATTCCATCTAGTGCTTTTTGTGGATGTGGTCTATTGAAATAAAAAGAGGGAAACTGAGGCCTGGAGAAGCTCCCAGAGGATTTTCCTTACTAGGATCCTCAATCTAAAAGGGACTTCAGAGGCTAGTTAATCCAACTCCCTCATTTTACAGGTGAGGATGCTGCCAGGGAGGTTCATAGGGTAATAGATTGGGAGCTAGAAGGGACATTTGAGGACATTTAATTCAACTACTTCATTCTACAGATGAGGAAACTGAGGCCCTAGAGAGGGGAAATGACCCCCCTCAGGTCACATAGTAGCAGAGCTAAGATTTGAGCTCAGTTCCTCTGCCTCAAATCACTTACTCTTTCTGCTTTACCACTCTTCCTCCTAACACTTAGAAGGAAGGTCCTTTTGGGAAATCCCTAAAAAAAAAAAAATTAACAAATGATACATCAGGAAAAGGTTCCGTGAGATTTGACAGGGACCTCAGATTTTCGGAGAAATGGGGAGAGGAGATTCGTGCTGCTGGAACTGGCTTCCTATAGTCTAGGAAATTCTCTCCCCTTCCCTCCCCCCATTAATAGCCTCCTCCCCCTACTTTAAGCACCGGTTCCAGGTTCTGTTCCCAGATGGGAGGTGACCATAGATTTCAGTCCTGGGGCAGGATCCCAGACTCTCACAAGACATTCTAGGTTCTGTAGGAAGCAGCTGGGCCCCCCTCCATCCCTAGCATTAAAGGCAGAGACCTCAGGAGGATTGGCTTGGGGCAGCCACAGCTGGGATGACAGCCAATCACAAATAGTCATAATCAAGAATTCTGCCTGACTCATGGGAAATTTGGGACTCTCTTCCAGGCTACTTCTTCCCAAGCCTTCCTTGATTTTCATGCTGTTTTTAAAGCCTGATCTTTGGCGTTTTAAGCCTCATTAAGAAGAAATGAAAATGCCGAAAATACCACCACCTCAGAGAAGCCTTCTCTGATCAGCTGAATTGAAGGGTCTCCTTGCACTTTGCTGAGACCCCTCCTATTCTACCCTGCTTTCTATTATACCCTGTACTGAGGCAGCTAGATGACATAGTGACTAGAGCACAGGAATTAGAGTCAGGAGTTCAAATCCTTAAACCCTCTCAAACTCAGTTTCCTCATCTGTAAAATGGGGATAATCATAGCACCTACCTCACAGGGTTGTGAGGCTCAAATGAGATAACATGTAAAGTGTTTTACAAATTTGAAAGGCCTATCCAGAGTGTTTCAAGGCTTTTGGAACATCCTGTTTAAATGTTCATTACTACTACTAATACTACTGCTACTGCTGCTGCTGCTACTACTACTTTGCTAGAACTTGAGCTCCTCAAGATCAGCATGATTCTCCCCTTCCCCTCTCACCTTTTCCTATCTCAGCCCAGAGAGCTAATGGGTCTTGTCCAATCAGCATCTTGTATCACTAGAATGAGGTGTAGTCCTTCCCCACTGGCCTTCTCCCAAAGGCATCTGAATCACAGTTAACATTTTCCCCAGTGCTGACCACAAAGCCTTACACATAGTGGGTACTTAATAAATATTTCAATCAGTCCATAAACAAACATTTTTCAAATGATTAATGAGTGCTAGTACCAGGAATCCAAAAGGCAAAGGTGAAACATTCCCTGCCCTCTAGGGGCTTCTACATTCTGAATAAGTGAATGATACTGCTAGGTCTCTAATCTTGGAGCTGGAAAGGGATCCTGAAGCTATCCATTTCACTTTTAGATAGTCTCGCTCCAGGAGATGGCTTTCCCCTCCCCATGCTTTATATGGGCCTTCAATTTGCCTCTCTGAAGATCTATTCATTGTTTCTAGTTCAGCCCTCTGGCACTAAGTCAAACACATCAGTCTTGTTCTACGTGAAAGCCTTGAAGGCAGCTATCAAGCTAACCCTTAATGAAAGAGCACGTGCCAGAGATCTTAGACTTAGAACTGGCACCTTAGAGGCCATCTAAGCATACCCCCTCATTTTGTAGATGAAGCAACTGAGGCACAGAGTGCTGGTGTTTTCACCAAGGTCACACTGGTTGGTAGGTGAAAGAGGAAGGATTTGAACCCGCTTTTGCTGACTCCAAGTTCAGTGTTCTTTTCCATCAGTGTACCACACTGCCAGAACCTTCTCTTCTCATGGCTAACCATCCACAGACCCTCATCTGGCACGATCTCTAGCCCTCCTAACTCTTTCATGGTCCTCATTCAAACATACTCCCGTGGATCTCTGGCATCCCTAAAGTGAGGCCACTAACTGTTACATTGTAGTCTCTTGACTTGTGGCCAGCCTGGCTTCTCTGGATCTGTGATCCTTGGGCAGCCTCTTGAATCTTAAACACCAAAAGGAGCCGGACAGCAGTCGCACCTGTGTGTTGGAGGGCCAAGGCAGTTGTGAAAAGCCTGTTTCAGCCATCCTGGACAGTCAGTGAAACAGGTGGCTGCTGTAGCTTCTCTTCCCTAGGTCTAGCCAAGCCCAGGAAAAGTTCAGTGTCTCTGATCTCCTTGTCTGGCTCACCTACAGCAGGGGAGAATGAGAACATATTGTGCCTACCAGCTCTTCGCCCTTTCAGCCAAACTACAGTTCACCTTGACAGCTGGGCTGAGCAAGACAGAAACTAAATGGCTCGTTCCTGCCCTTGGCCCTGGCCTTCCTCTTTGTTCTGGGCACCAGCACTGGGAGGGTTACGCATGTTCTGAGAGCTGGCAGCTAGCAATTCTGGTGTCTGAGGAGAATTCAACTGGAGGAAGAAAGAAGACCCCAGACCTCAAGACACAAGACCCTACTGGGGGAAAGACCCCATGATAACACTCAAGGATGCAAAAACAGAGAACAATATCTCTGGGAGGTAGGTGCTATTATTGTCATCCTCTTTTTATAATTGAGGAAACTGAGAAAGACAAAAGTTAAGTGACTTGCCTAAGGTCATGTAACTCGAAAGGATTTGAGGCCAGTTTTGAACTCAGATTTTCCTGACTCCACAGTCTATCCACTGAACTACCTAGCTGCCTCTAGGTAGAAGGAACATCTTCAAGAGGAGGTGTCCTAACTCAATAAATTGCAGATCTAAGAAATTCTTGCTAAGTACAAAACTCACCTGCTTCTATCTGCTAAAGGACTGCAAGTGTCATCATTGCCTTCTAATTTCATAATTCTAATTTCATGAAACAAAGCCCTGGTTATCCCACCATAGTTCATGCTGTGAAGAACCTATCTTCTTTCTATTTAAAAACCTGTGTCCTATCTAAATGTGTTTTAAAAAGTTAAATTCTGGTATTGGCTGAACTCGCACAGCACTTACAAGCGCTCAGTGATGCTGCTTTGTACTGTTAGTCATCTGCTTATGTGTATCTGGGTTCCCCAACTAGATGATTCCTGGGCAGTCCCAAGCTGCCTTGAGGCTTACAGGCCAAAGAGAGCTGGACAGCAACCAGACCCAGTAGTTATGAATGCTAGCTAGCTTACAATACTCCACATGCGTTTGATTTTCACAACACCCTCCTGAGGTAGGTAATGCAAATATTATTATTTCAGTTTTATAGATGAGACTGAAGCTAAGCAGTCAAACGAATAGCCTGAAGTTAATTAGTGGCAGAGCTAGACAGGAATCCAGGTCTTTCTACTACAGCAGACTATTTCTCAATACTTTTTGTGATGTAGGAAGTTCCAGACCCACCAAACATTTTCCCACCAGAGGCAAGTACAGTGAGAATAAAAGAGAAAGAGGTGCAATGGCCATCTTTAGGCTCATTTGAGAAATTAAACTCTACCACTGAGACCATGACATGGGTGAGCTAAAACAAAACCTATGGAGTTGTCCAAGCTGTGTCTTGGGAGCCTGCGGAGAGGCAGCAGGGGAAAACCCATACAGAGCAAGGTCCAGGCACTGGCTGACCTCCCACACCTGATAACTCTGGTATAGATAGACATGACTGACAGCTATTAGGCCTTGTTGGCCTCTGCAGTTTACCTGGGCTGCAGATGATGCTTTGGGCTGGTTTACTCTAGAAAGGGGACCGAGGAATCCTCCCCTTGGTCAGCAAGTCTGCAGCCATCTAACAGAAGTTGGCAGGGGTGAGAGTAAGAGTTGTGGGGGAAGAGATCCCTAGAGTTGTGGGGGAAGAGATCCCTAGAGAGGAAGAATTTCTGAAGGACTATGTCTAGATTCTCTGTCTCTGTCTCTGTCTTTGATGTTTAATTCTAGCTGTTTTATTCACAAGGTCTCTCTGGCTTACCACTTACTGAACATGTGCCTTCTTTCTTTTTTTATATATAATATTCTAAATTATCTTTTGAGAAACCAGAAGAGAATCCATTAGTGGGGGAAAGAGATACCATTCATAAGGAGCAAGTAAACTTTTCTGTTACTCCTTGGATTTTAACCCAAATCTTTGACCCTTGTATAGGGAGTCTAAGTGGGCAATGGAGGCCTCTTCTGGAAGATCCTGGTCATTCATTCGGCGATATTGTTTCAACAAACATTCATTAAGCTCCTACTGTGTATGAAGTATTTTCTAGGTGCTAGGAGAGATACTAAGTTTGATAAAACAGGATTACTGCCTTCATGAGGCTTACAGTCCAGTGTGTGTGTGTGTGTGCGTGTGTGTGTGTGTGTGTGTGTGAGAGAGAGAGAGAGAGAGAGAGAGAGAGAGAGAGAGAGAGAGAGAGAGAGATGGGGAGTAGGGGAAAGAGTCAGACATTTATACGTGTGTGTGTGTATGTGTGTATATATATATATATATATATATATATATATATATATGTATGTATGTATGTATGTATTATATATATAATACTCCAAGAGAAGTGCATTAGAAAATTGGAACTCAGAGCACCTAGGATGTTGTGTGT